CGTGCCCGGGGGGAGGCGGCTCTGCGCGGGGGGGGTGCGGCGTTTGGGTTTCCCCCCTCTGGAGCCGTTAAGGTTTTTCCTTTTCATGGAAGCCCTCGGCCGGGCCCGCTCCCCGGTGCGTCCGAGCTGTGTCATTGTTCCGCAGCCCCCCCGCTCAGGGCGGGAAGGAAGGGACGCAGAAAGCTTCCTCTGGTGTTACCGGGGGCCATTAAAGGTCACGGCAGCGCTGCCTCCGGCAGAAGCCTCCTCGCTTGTTAGTTAATAAACACGTCCGAGCGGCAGCGCCGGCTCCTGCTCGGGTGGGTTCTGCTCGCTCAGAGAAGTAAGTAAGTGTCCGAAGTGGCAGAACGGGCCGAAGGGGCCCTCTCGTGACCCGCCACGCACAGCCCCTGCTCTAGAGTCGGGAGGGCTGCGCGGCTGGCGGCCTCAGGCGTGTTTCCTTCGTGACCAAACCGCCGGACAAGGGGTGGTTGCTTCTGGTCTTGATCTACTTACTGGTGATGGATTGTCGTAAACACCTGTGACTAATTAGGAGGAACTGTGTTACAAGGCTCAGACAGTTTCTGATTGGTTTCTCTATAACCCACAGCTGCTTTGTTTGACTTCATACAACACCACGACCAGAATACACGTTTTGGTTGCTGTTTCTCCTTTACCCGTCAGGAGTTGCTTTTCTGGCCGGTTCCATTTCTAGCGTGCAGTTGCCTTTGACTTGGGTTTGCTCGCGGACCGCTTGACTCCGGTGACGTAGCCAGAAAAAAACCTTTTGTCTTGCCCAGATGTAGGCTGAAGTTTGCTATCGCATGTTATGCCGATTAGTTGGAAGTAAAGAGGGATGGCAGCTAGTGGGAGTTTCAGTTAAAGCATTTTTAAATAAACTGAGCTTTTTTGATACTTAGAATTGATTTGTGTCTTGACTATCTGCATAATAATTCTGCAGCTTGTTATTTAATAGACATTATTTGTAGGGTTTGCTTAGCTAGAACAACCGAGTTAGGAACTGCAGAATCACGTTGTATTTTAGCTGTTGCTCTAAGTTCAGTAGTTCTTCGAATCTCTGCCAGTTTTAAGATACCTTCTGTAGCTGCCAAGTAATTTGCTGTACAGATGGATGGTTGTGGGTTTTTTTCTATGTTGAAAGCTGAGGTGGGGTGAGAAGGCAAAGGGATGTAGGTAGAATACCAATATAATTAGCATGTTATTATATTTATTTATAAATGGTTACTCATGTGCTATAGGCAGAGAACAGAGAAGGGAGGAGATATTTATAGTATTAGTTTTAAAACAACAACAACAAAAAACCAAACAGCAAAATGTTTTTGAGAATAATAATTATTAGAAGAAGGATAGGTAAGAAACTTGTATTTATACTTTTCCAGTTAGAGAACTTCATATCTGGCACATTAGACAGAGTTTTTGTTCTTTTGCTTCTTTCCACTTTAAGCTTATTGTTGCTGGAAGGATAAGCACAGCGAGACTGGGGAGAGAAGGAAGCAGTGAAGCTCTAGCTGGCTTTTTAACTGAGACAGGTATACCCCAAACTGGATGTACCTGGCAGGGGAGTTGTATTAATTTTTATTTTTTTTTTAAATTAAACTCCAAAAGCTGCTTGGTATTCCGAAACAGAGGAAGAAGGGTTTCGAATTAAAGGAATTGCCAGGAAAGAGAACGTTACGGTCCAGCGTTTCCGTGTTGAGGCATTTGAAGGGGCATTTGTGAATGTCTCCAGTTAAAAACCAAAGCGACAACAACAAACCCCACACATGCAGAGGCACGCCTCAGCTGTAGGAGGGCAGAAAGCTCTTCCATTGTGTTTCAGCTCAGCTCAAAAAGAAAGTTGTGTTCTTTCGGGAAGTTGAGAGGGAGCGGAATTCCACCTAGCATTTAAACTTGGACTGGGGTATTGTATGGGGTTTGTAGTGTTGGCCGAAGACAAAGTAACGGGAAGTCCAGACAAGTTTAGCATGTCTCGGTAGTGCAACTGCACGGCACTGAGCAACCATTACGCTGACGTGTAAGTTGTCTGAAAACAGCTCGGTCTTGTTTGTCAGGGTGTGTGTGGACGTGTCCTTAGAATCTATGGAAAGTATCTCTTCTTTATTTTGTTGTAAATGGAAACTCCAGTCTTCCCTACTGACCTTACCCATTTCTGGTCCAGGGCCCAGTGGTGATGACTGCTTTTGCCTCGCCGTCCTCGTCTGGCGCCGCGTGACTCTTCACCAATCACGGCGGAATCTGTCAAGCCCACGCTCTGCAGGGTTGTCATCTACCTACAGAAGGAGATGTCGGGGGACACGTGTCTAACCACCACCCTTTGTCCAGCTGCAGGGCCCAAGCCCAAAACTTGCAGCTTCAAAGGGGGCAGCCTCGGTAACAAGTACGTGCGACTGAACGTTGGAGGCTCTTTATATTACACTACAGTCCAAGTACTGACCCGGCACGACACGATGCTCAAGGCCATGTTCAGTGGCAGAATGGAGGTGCTCACAGACAAAGAAGGTAAGGGAGTGTCTTTCGTTGAGAATTTTGTAAAACAACTGGGGTTTGGTGGTGGTTTTTTAAACATCTTAATATCTACACTCAGTTAAGGATGTAGGGAAAGATATATTCCAAAAATAACTTGGAACATTAGGCAGCCAAATCCCATTGGCATTAATGATCCTCTGTGCTTTATAAAAATCTGTTCTTTTGTTACTAAAATTAACGAGTGGAAGGACTGGTTCTCTTTCCTGCGATCGCAGCTGGTATGCAGGTTGTTGATGTTGTTGTGAAGACTGAACAGACAGTATGTGGGTTGTCATTTACGTGGTGTCATGTAGTGGCATCATTTGAAATGCGTGTGTGGGGAGGGACGTTCCGTTTTCATCTTTAAAACTCATAATAGCCTTGCTTGCTGTGTTGAAATATTTTTTTTCCTCCTCCCAGTACCATGTTCCACTTGTGGCTTGCAGTGCTGTGACAGTATTTATCTGTCAGTTGGGTAACGTGTCACCTGGACGCTGCATATTTGCATTATAAAAATCTGTAATATTACAGAGAGTAGAACAAGTAAGAAAACCACTATCAGTAGTGGCTATGGGTGCCTTAATTTTCCAATCTTTAGTAGTCCAGGGCAGAACATCACTGTAGGAATGAGGGTTGTGACACTGGAGAGGAGGTTGGCAGGTATTTAACCTCTGTGTGTTTCTGAACACTTGTATGCAAAAACTCTTCTGTGTGCCCAGACTGCATCACTTTAAACCTGGTGCACAACAGTGTGTTGGAAGTGAAACAATTTCTTGTGGATTTTGCAGATCATTTAAACCAAGTTTCTCTTGAGTAGGCTGGGCCTTGTTGAGTGTTACGTACAACTAAATCCATTTAGTCAAGCAGTTTTGTGTAAGAGCCTCAGCCTGGATGGCAGACGGGGTTCATGTTCTGACAGCTACAGCCAGAGAATCTAGCAGTGGTTCAGCTTACTGTCCTGTGTTGTTTTCTGTACCTCCGTCCCAAACTAACAATTTTTTTGCCTGCCTTCCACATTATGGAAAAGGTTTTGGCACTCTATTAAGCCTTCTGCCTATGTGCATCCTACGTGGCCATTGTTTGCCAGCAAGTCAGACATCCTGTTTCCTAGTGAGTGTGACTTCAGGGATGTTTTAAAATTGTGAGAACTCTCTGTCTGCTGCTGTTTCCTGTGCTGCATCCCCTCTCTGATCTGTCTTTGTCCTGTTCTTTGCTCCTGTTTGGGGGCTGGAACAGCTTTTTTTCCCATACTGGGTTTTCTGGGCTAGTCTACCTTTCAGCATCTTGGGAACACTTTTCCCTAACTCCGTACAACAGCAGATGATGTGGTTGGAAAACTTAAATCCTTCTTGTTAGGCCACAGAACTTATCCCAAATCATCTTGCTGCAAGCAATTGTGAGTTCTCTCTTCTGGTCTTCCCTTGGCTTTCTTAGTGATGTTTCTAATTGCCCAGCATTACACTGTAGCAGAGTTACCACATTTATTCCCATAAAAATACAAGACACCCCCATTGTGCTGAGACATGACAAGCCTCTAAATAAAAGCAGCAACCTACCTAACAATAAGCTTTTCTTTTCCTTTTTTTTTTTTTTCTATTAAGGTTTGAATAGCTTGGGCAGTCAGTTAAGTAGATGTAAAATAGACTTCCTGTAGTAGTTAAAAAGGTCCATTCCTTTGATCAGAACCTAATACAAAAAGATGAAGCGCAGGTAACCATTTTGGTCAGGCTGCCCACTGACTGACTGATCAGTTGATGCAGCACAGCCAGGTTCCTGTGGCTGGTTTAGTGTGTTGTGATATGAAGGCAGGTATTTTTAGCTTGAGGCTTTTCTTTTGGGGTGATGGAAAGCAGTGAGAACATACAGGAGGTACCAGAGGAGGGGTTCCACTGTCAGCTTCTGTTCTGTAACCAGCTTCAGTTTGCCCAAAGTCAGTAAAGACATCCATTTCATCCAGTATTGTGTGCAGTTTGGGGGAAAATTAGGTTTATTCAACCTCTGTTTCTTGCCCCTAATGCGTTGAGGTGATTGAAGTGGTGTGATGGTTATTTTTCAGGCTGGATCCTTATAGATCGTTGTGGGAAGCACTTCGGAACAATTTTAAACTATCTCCGAGATGACACGATTGCACTTCCAAAACACAGACAGGAGATCAAAGAGTTGATGGCAGAAGCCAAATATTATCTAATTCAGGGCTTAGTGGACATGTGCCAAGCAGCCCTGCAGGTAAGAAACAGAAGTAGCCTCTAAAGCTTTTTGGGAGTGTTTTGCTTATAAAATTTACTTAAGACAACTTGGGAAAGTATTTCTTGGCCTTAGAGATGGTGTCAAGTCTTGGGTGTACAAGTCAGCCTGGAAAGAAAACGAGACAGCAGTCAAGTTCCAGTGTGTTTGTCATAGCCACAGGTGTCCTTCGTATGCACAGCTGGGATTCTGCGGTGCTTTGAATAAGAGGTGGAATTTAGTTTATGATCTCCCTGTGGCAGTGCTTTCAGACCCATGTGCCACGGGTGCCTGTGCTCTGAAGGCGTTTAGTGCTGTTAGTGAGGTGGTTGCATTATCAAGGGAGCTATTTCTTTGTAAGAAGGGAAGGATTGTCCCCTGGTTAGATGATGTGAATCTAGAATGTGCAAGACATAGGTTCGAGTTCCTGTCGTTTTGGAGATGTCTGGTCTGATGGAAAATCTTTTCCCTTTATGCTTCAGTTGTCCAGCTGCCCCCTCAGAATGGGGATAGTAGCATTTTTCTACTTCACAGGGATGCCAGGAGGGTGAATAAAGTAGAAACTGTATTCACAATTTGTCATTTAAATAGAGGGACTGTTTCTTTTCTGTTTCTTTTTTTTTTTAAATTTTATTTAGGAAATAGATAGTGAATGAGTTCCTCTTATGTGAAATTAAATAAAAGGCAGAAATTTAAAGGAATCTGATTGAATAAATATGATTATTTTGAGTATACGTTTTAAAAGACCTTACGGCATTTGTCTAAATTTCCCCCCAAGTTACATCATTTCTAATTAAATAATATTTATAGGCAGAGTGGGTTTGAATCTTTGAAAACGTGGTAACTTTTTTTCTAAGCTTGAATCTTAATGGAGCAGAAGGCCTACATGGTAAGCACTGAGTACTTCAGGGACTTCTCTTTGTATCAGTTTTGCAGATACATAAGCCCATGGTAGCTTTACTCACTTTATGAATCCCTATGCATTCAGCTGATTGAAATCAGCTTGTTCTGGCAACTTTTTAATAAGGTTAGCCCAGATGCAATATATGTAACTTATTAGCCTTGAGATTGTGAAATGAATGTTTCTCACAGGACAAAACTTAGTAAATAAAAAATGCCTCACGTACTAGGTTCAACATACTTCTTGTATTTGCTGAAAGAAGTGCAAAGCCACGCTGACTGTTCTCCTTCTGGTTTAGAATTTAAAACCTTTCTTCTCAAAACAAAATGTTCTAAGGCCTTTCTATTAGCTATTGAGCTTCCCTTGATTTGCTGCATGGGGAATCTGGAGTCACAGACTGTGCTGCACGCTCTCCATTGTTGCTTTTGTATCACAAGGGGCTGAAGTCCGTTTTGGTGACATGCTGTTCTTGCCAAATGTTCATAGCAGCTGATATTCTTATATACTGCAGTGTTCCGAGTTGATTACAGCTAGTGCAAACTCTGACAATCCTTTTCTTCAAAAAAGGATAGAATAATAAACCCACTTAAATCAAATATGACTTGAGCTCAGAGTCCTTGCTATAGCTGAGAAGGACCTCCACCTGCATCCCAACATTTCAATTACCCCTGCCTTCTGGGGATGAGAAATCTCTGCGCTGTATTTCTGGGTTGCAGATCAAGGTGACGCTGTGTGGTTACTATAGCAACGCAGAGCTTTTTCCTTTGCATCACAGGATTCGGGAACATGGCTGGAGGGGTTGGAGAAGGCAGCAACAGCAGATGTTAGCTTTAGCATTTATCTCTTGAGTTTATTTCCTCTCTCTCTTCTTTCTTTAAAACAGGACAAGAAAGACTTGTGTGAACCTGTCTGTAGCATCCCTATAATCACATCTCCCAAAGAGGAAGAGAGACTGATAGAATCATCAATGAAAGTAACTGCTTTTCCTCAACTATCCAGTGAGAAACTGAATTTTCACGGAATGTATTCAAACACAGAACTTACCTTTCTGCTTTTTTTTTTTTCTTTCTTTCCCAATAGCCTGTTGTTAAGCTGCTTTATAACAGAAGCAACAATAAATACTCCTATACCAGGTATGTTGGGGTTTTTTCCCCACTGTAATTGGAGGTTTCCCTTTGACCGTGGGAGTGGAGGAAGATGTGATACAACCTAACTTGGGGTTTTTTTATTGCTTGGTTTGTTCTGGGTTGTTTTTGCTGAAAACAGTGCATTTCTGTGGATTTGAGTGCAGTTATTTTTGACTGATGTGAGTCTAAATGGGGGGAGAACACACCAAACTGTATCTGAAGTCTAGTGAACTGCTCAGTTGTGTGAGAAGGATGAACAGAAACGAGGGACGAGGTAAGAGCGATGAGGCTGTTCGTAATGGCTGCAGCTAGGTGTAAGTGGGTAATGCAGCACAAAGCTAACCCAGCCGTGATCCCTACCTCGTCAGTTCAGCTTTACTTCTGAGTCTACGTACACCCCTGCCAGCACTCTCTGACCTACAGACATTCTTGATGTTCCAGTGCCTCAAAATCAATTAGTTACTTGGTTACGAAGGAGAGTATCTCTTCAGCTTAACAACAACCCAGTTTGGGCCAGAGCAGGAATTTTCTGGCTTTTCTCCTGCATAAAGTAACATTATTTATTTAGCTTTATGCTGTAACTATCATAATCCTTTTGTTATGATTCTGTCAGAATGACTTTGGGTTTTCCCAAACCAGTCATTGAAGCGATGTGAGTAATCCTTTATGCTATGCAGAATCCTCATTTTCAGCCTTTTCAGTCTGAGGTGCGCTCTTGGAATCTTTTTTTCTCTAGACAAACTGTCTGTCTGTCTGAGAGATGGTTTCTAGCAGTCGTGACGTTCGGGGTAGCCAGGCAGTGCTACCTGTGGGAGTGCTGAAGAGCAGCCTGTTTTTCAGCAGACTGCATTCTGTATCTGCCAGTCGCGTTGGACTCCTCCCTGTGTTACCCTGTAGCTCACGGCAGTGATGCTAAAGCAAGCACAGAAGAGCATATTAATCATCATGGGCCTGGAAATGTAAACGTCCTAGTAATGAGAGCAACGGAATCCTGGATACCGGGAGCTGCTGGTATCTCCACTAGCTGGAGGGTTCTAATTATTCCTTCCGCATGAATCTGCATGCCTTGATGGTGTTTAAATGAGGCATCTTTAAAATTCCACACTGGCTGCTAGCAGGCGGATTTTTTTCCTTCTGTTCTTCCTAATCAACAGTATAAAAGAAGCTTTTTCAGTTACGTTGTCGGTATGGTCTGATAACAAATGGAGGAAGACTTTCACATTCTTTTCCCAGCTCTGCTGCCTGTAGAGGCTGGGACTTGTCACTGGCTGAACCCCAGGTTGGTTTATCAAATGATTCTTGCAAGCTGAAGATTTTCTCTGGGTGCACGTCATGTTTTTTTGATTTCGATCTGAATGGAAATACTTCTCAGACTAAGTATTTTATGTAAAGCCCAGTCGACTGTTCTTATTAGCAGTGTCTCAGTTCACAAGTATTTCACAGCCTTCCTGGACCACTTGCAGAAGTTAAGATACCTCATACAAAAGTACAGTGTCCTGTCTCTGGGTAGATTCTTGGCAGCAAGGCGTGAATTTGGAGCTTCTGGTTGCAAAGAGTAAGGAATTTTACTGTTAAAGCTAGCAAGGTTGGCTTTGTTGTCTAGACAATAATATGTTCACCAATTTCCACATATCTGCCCATAATTTCCCAGTCACCTATGAAAAGACACAAAGGGGAACAGGCTACTTATTTTTGATATGGCTGCATTCAAGCTGTTGTCAGAGGAATAAGGTCCTTAGGGGACTTTTTATCTGATCAAATTAGACATTGATTAGCCATGATGTTGATATTTAAATATTTTAAATTTTAAGAATAGCTTTACTCGATTTTGAAGCTAGAATACAATGTGTATTTTTTTTCTCTAGAAGATCTAGATTTTGAAAAGTAATTACGACCCTACATTGCATTGGCTGTCAATAAAACTTAGTTTCCTGAACAATATATTCACCCTAGAAATTAGTATATGGTGTCCCTAATGTTGTGCAGAACACCTTGCTTTTTAGCTGGCCTTCTAACGTGCCCTCTTTGGACTTTTGCTAAGCTGAAGAGAACTGCAGTTAGCATGTGATTTAATCATCTTGAGCGTCAGTCAAGAGATAGTTGTAGTTGATGTAATGATTTGGGAAATTGTGCTGTCGTTATTAATTATATAACTTGACCTCTAAAGGCCGGTGTGTTTGCTCATGGGAATCGGATGGGCATCTTATTTGTATCTGAAATTGGCTATTGCCCTCTCTCTTCTTGGCAGCATATGGCCATGAGTCACTACTTACTTGTATTCTGCAGTTAAATCAGTGCTTAAAACTGGTGGAATAGGCGTGTCAATCCTGTAGAGATGGCCAGTTGAAAAACCGCAAAACCCATATTCCTTCTTTTGTTGCTGTGTTTCAGTAACTCAGATGACAACTTGCTGAAGAACATAGAACTCTTTGACAAGCTCTCTCTGCGGTTCAATGGCAGAGTTCTTTTCATTAAGGATGTTATAGGGGACGAAATCTGCTGCTGGTCTTTCTATGGACAGGGTCGGAAGCTTGCTGAAGTCTGTTGTACCTCTATAGTGTACGCTACAGAGAAGAAGCAAACCAAGGTAATTAAGTTTTACCCGCTTGTCTCTTACAGTTTAAAAAGGTTGGTGATACATTGCAGAAAGAGATTTTTGTATCACAAAAGGTTGGTGATACATTGCAGAAAGAGATTTTTGTATCACTTCAGCCAACTTGCTAGGGGCAAACGATACCATTTGTTGGGAAAGCTTTGATACCAGCTGTCCTGAATCCTGACTGGAAGTGAGGGTCGGTGCCATCGGCGTTACCAGGATGTCTCTTGCTGGGGGGCTCCTGCCCGGGTGAAAGCTGCCGCGTGCTCGGTGGGATTCAGAGAAGCCTGTGATAGCAGGTTTGAAGAAGGAAAGACTGGTTATTCTGAAAGCACATGCGTTTTAGTCTCTTAAAGCTGACGGACTTTATGTCCCTAAAGCATGCAAATGCCTTTAAATTCCTCTCTAATTAAATGAAGTAAAGATCTAATTCTACTCCTAATTATACCTACATAAGTTTACTTCGGTGCAGTTACTTTGTACTGTGTTTCACTTGCACTGATGTAATTACTGCATATAATTGGACTCAATGGTTGTGTCTGGGAGTATAAATATCTCCAGAGCACTGGAAAACATGTGCCAAAAAGGAGAAGACTGAAACTGATCTATCCCAACCAGAATAACTGAAATGGATGGATGAAAATAAAATGGAAACAAGCTCAGTGTTTAGAAACACGATATTTTTGTTATCGTTGTGCTTTTATGTGCAAAACTATAGAATATCTGTTTAAAAAAATGTTCAGTGGGAGCGCAGATTCCCAATAATCAATGTATCTTGATTTCCCCACGTTTCCAAAGATTCTTCTCCTAGTTTCCCTACCTCTGATTTTGCAAAGGTTACCTAAAGACTTGCTTTCAAGCACAGTAAAGAGATGAAATACAAGCATGCAAATATGACGATTAACATGATAAATCTACAGAGCTTCCCTAACTTCACGAGTTAACTTCTGACTTGCAGTGGTGCAGGTAAGGTGACCAGGGTCCAGCAGCAGCCCTTAAGAATCACAGGTACTGTATTCCATTCTAGAACAATCCAAAAGAAGAGGTGAGGTAGGCGATCTGGTGGTGGGAGTAATCCTCTAGTAGCAATTAGACTGCTTTGCTTAGCTTTCTCATTTACGATGGTTTTACTCTCTTTACAGTCTTTCTGTGGCTCGTGTGTCTTTGTACTCAGGCTGTGTGTTCAGCCACGTTACCCTGTTTAGACCAGGAAAAGGACATGTGCTGGTTTTTTTGTAGGTTGAATTCCCCGAGGCACGGATTTATGAGGAAACACTAAATGTCTTACTGTATGAAACTCCACGGGTTCCTGATAACTCTCTGCTGGAAGCAACAAGCAGGAGCCGAAGCCAGGCGTCCCACAGTGAGGACGATGAGGGTTTTGAGCTTCGTGACCGAGTGCGCCGAATCCACGTGAAGAGATACAGCACCTACGACGACCGTCAGCTTGGCCACTAGCCTGCTCGTCGAGGGGAGAGGGTTTGGTGTTGAGGCTCATAGCGATATTCTTTAAGGGGAATCAGGAAGTAGGGGGGGATCAGTTGGACTCTCTGGATTGATCTTCGTGTGGCTTCTTGGCTCCCTAGAGAAGCAAATGGGCATTTGTACGCACAAAGCAACACTAAAGGCCGAGGGCTGTGAGAACCAAGATGTTAATTTTGCACCGTGTGCTTTAAATACAGACTGGCCCCCTTTTCGTGCCGCATGAGGAATGGGATTCGGAACACCGATTCTGACACTTGTGGTTGCTCCTTCATACCTAATGACTTGCCAGATTTCGTACTTCCTGTGAGAAGTAGTGCTTCTCCGGGAGGAGATGGCATGATTTGAAAATCTTTTTCCAGATACCTGCCCTTGTAGGGTTTTGTATAATGGAACTTCCAGTTTTTAAATCAAGATACTGAAGAGGGGGGTGGAGAGAACTTGAACGTGGCTGCTCTTAGCAAACACTACATCTGATAACCCACAGAACTGGGTAGCTATCCAGTAGTCAGATGCACCGCACGTGTGATTTCTCCCACCTCTTTCCCCCAGTACACATACAAAGGTTTGTGGTCCGAGATAGCTCTCTTTAAAACTCATTAATTCTAAGGCAAGCTCTTCCAAAGAGGTAAGAGTCAAGTCATCAAAAAACCTCCCCTTGTGAAAAATGAGAAAACTTTGAAAATTTAGATATATATGTAATGATTTGTCTTGGGAGATGGAGAAATGGGTATGGTGAAGGAAGTAACTTCTTCAAATAAGAAAACATCAGGAATAGATTGTGGCAGGGTTGCCACTCTTCAGGCTTGTGATAGTGTAATCCTGTTTATAGAAACAATTAAAATCTGGGGAATTAGTTTTTACATTAGTTTCCTTCTGTGGCCCAAAAGTGCTGTTTGATGTTAAATTTTTCAGGTAGGAGGGAAAAAAAAATGCGGTTACTGGGAAAGTACAGGCTAAACAACGTTTTATGAGACTATAGATAATGTTCACGTACTGATGAGTGAATTCAAGTTTTGTGTTTTGAATCCCTTCTATAGAGCATAGAAGTTGAAGGGGAAAGAGAATAGTCACAAAAATCTTGTTCTAGCATGAAACAGTAAGAGGCTTTGGGCACCGGAGAGAGGTAACTTATACTGAATTTTAAACCAAAATAATCACTTTTATTCTGAGTGCTTGGCTGGGAGCTAATTGTAAAGGGCCTTTCAGAAGGTTGGAGTCAAGGCTGCTCTGCAAACTGGGTGTCTGGAAACAGTTTCAAGTTTAGCATGCAGAGCTGTTACTGTCCTTCTCAATGTTTGCTTGTATGTTTCAGTGGCAGGTTGCAGATGCAAATTTTACCACAGTCCTAAACAGTTATTACTTGATGGCAGTTCATTGGCAGCCATGGATACACGGCAGCGCTGGAGTCTGCTCCACAACTGCTGTCAAGTTCTCCTATTGAACATGAACACGGAAGCTTCAGATCCCACGAGGGTTCGTCTTGAACTGCTTTGACCAGTGCCAAATCTACCCATAAATTTTAAAGCAAATTACTGCAAAAGCCTGGCAAGAAAATAATCCCAAATTAATACAGTGCGGTCCTAAGGAGAGTTAAGATGGTAGGTGGTTTGGTAGTCATAGAAGCAGAGGAGGGAACAAACCCAAAATTTCCACTCATTTAGGCTTTTGAAAATGAAGTTGTCGAGGCTTGGTAAGAAAACACTAATGGCTACAAACTTGCAGGATTTTATGGTCTAGCTGGGCCTCTACATGTGGCAGGCACTGACTTAATTCTCCTCACATTCGGGAAGAAGCACTGCCGCAGTAATGCACCTGCCTTTTTGTGAAAGGCCTCTTAAAACTCTAATAACCTCTTTTCTTTTTACATTGCTTTCTGTAAGTAGTTGTTTTCCAGCTGGTTTTTCTATTGTGCCAGTGAAAATACAGGCTGAGATTAGTTTTGACAAAGACTTTTGTGGGTTTTTTTTCCTTTAATTCTGCTAGAGCGTGATGTGGATTTTTTTTTTTAAATTTTTTTTCCCCTCCACTGATAACTCTTTAAATGACACTGTGGTGGGTGCTTTGAAGCTGCCAGCAGAGCCTGTAGTGATAGGGTCTTTGTGCTGTACTTAATAGCTTCAATTTATTCTCTTGTATTTTTTTTACCTTGTAACAAATAAGACTCCCATTTAAAATTCATGTGTGGCACTTTTGTTTCTTGACAAATGATTTCTATTATTTTTTTCTTGCTACTATCATAGTGAATGTTAACAGATCAAGTGATGCTGGTAGCCTTGCAAAATTGTGTTTAAGAGAAGTTACTAGCACAAAAATGTCATCTTTGCATTTCTTTTCTCCGGAGAGTATGGGTATGGGAAGGAGTGTGTGAAAGAGAATGAGTGTCAGATCCACGTGCTAGTGCAGAGGCTTTCATTCCATGGTCGGATGCTGTACTCCCAGGATTCATTAATGACATGGATTCAAATTGTGAATTATTATGCTCTAAGAGGCAGAGAAAAGCCTGTGTTTTGGTTTACTTGGTTTTCTTTTCCCTGTTTCCCAGAGCCAACAAGTAGTATTCATTTCTGATTTGAATTTAGATTAAAATAATCTTGGATACAAACTCTTTTGAGAACCATCTGTGTTATGAGAATCTTTTAAAAGTGCAAAATAACTTGGTATTTGTGGAATATCAGTAAGAACTGTAAGCAGTTATGAATGGTTTTTAGATATGTACAGATAATCGTTTTCATTGCACCTTCTCTCATCCCCATTCATTCTCCTTCCTCTACCCCCAATTAGTACTGATTGCAAAATACAGCATAAGATATTGCAGTATCTAAGATTGCATATCTTAGATTAAGATACGACTAGAACTGGAATGTTAAACAGTGTTCGGCCACTGTAGAGAGTCTGTAAGCTTTACTCAGAGTAATAATCTCATTGCATAAACACTAAAGTTTCATCTGTTCAAAAGACATTTCAAAACCGTGGTCTTGGTGGTCTTTGTCCTGTAAGGTTTTTCAGGATGTGGCTGAGAGATCCTGGTGAAATACGTGCGGTTGGGTTTGACCAGTGCTTCTGTAGTTCCCCCCACTTGCGTGCCGGTGGGGAGGGGAGAACATCAGGAGATCCTCTGTGTACTGGAGAGCCCCTCCCTGCCCCTGTAGGGCTGCTGTGCTAGGTTTCTCAAAGTCTGGAACGCCCGGGGTGGGTGATGTACACAAAGACGCAGTAAGTCTACATGTAGACATGGAGGTAGCCATCACTTACACAGTTCATGGGTTGGACATTTTTCTAACACAGGTGATAGAACTCTGTATTTTCTCTTCAGAGTCCCCCTTGTCTGGAACTGCTCCAACACAGGGTGTTAATTGAATGTCCTTTCCACCAAAACCACGGCATCTTGATTTACACCGTACCAGGTTCTGATAACTGTGAATGCTGTAGTTTTGATGTAACACATGCTTTGTATTTTCATCTTAATCATCCTTTACTTAATTAAAAAATATAAATTGTTTCGACGAGAACATTCTAGACATTCTAGAACTGCAGCATTCATTTACGGGTGGTACTCTGCTTCTAGAGCAAGCGAACAGCTGCGCTTCCTCAGACCCTTCTCTGCTGGCTTTAAATAGTACAAATTATGATCCCTACTAAGACAATATAGATTTCTAATTATATGCATTTGTCTGCAAGTTAAGAGACTTGTAATGGCTTCCTACATAGACCATCGCCAATGAGTGCGTTTCCTGATGTGCCTGTGAATTTATAGTAGCCTTTAGGAGGAGGAAATGCCTTTTTGCCTCATTTGTAATGTATGAATTCTAACTACATCAGTTAGCGTTCGTTAGCACCCGGAGCTCTTTTTGAAACCTTACTGTCCTCTTCACTCCTGAATTTATGTGAACTTTTTGCACATTCAAGTATTATATTATCAGACTGAGAGAATGAATGGAAGACATGAACAGACGTGTGTGTGCAAGTAGTGCAATAAAGGGTTGTGTGTTTCTGTAATGGGGTCCTAACACACTGCAAAGCAGCCTCAGTCTTTCTCCAGAGAAGGAGACTTGGTGCCGTGAGTGGATGTCTTGTGTTAAACAGCTTTTCAGTATCAGTGTTAATTAGACAATAATGTCAAAAGAGAGAGTTCAGCAGGTAGCAGCCTCCAACTGTTTGATAAATGCCAAGACAAAACTAAATGTTTAACCTTCACCTTGGCATTTAGTTTTTGGAACAGGAGACATTTATCCTATTGCAATGTTCCATTCTGCTGACTTTTTATCTCTTACACTTCTTGGTTAAAATGTAAAATAACTGACTGAGACTGGGAGGGCGTTGGAGGGACTGATCCTGTGGTGTTACTGAAAAGCTGCGTTCTGCTTGGAACAGGCTGTGCTTACTGTGGTTTTGATTACTTTTTTTTTTCTCAAGGTTTATTTTTTTTTAATTTTCAGACACAATTCACTCTTGGAAACACTGATGAAGTCTACCTTAACTGAATATGTCTGGCCCTGCAGTCCCTGTCTTACACAATTAGATTATATCCTCTGACAATCCTTGGCACTAAATCTTTACCACCAAATCTCACACCCTCCGTTCTGTTAGGAGAGCTGAGGTTTTATTAAGAGGTGAGTGGGCATGAGGCTTGTTTCCAGGTTTGCCACTATCTCGGTGACACACAGCAAATCAGTTTTTCTCTATGTGTGTAATTTTTCCTTATCTATAATAAAATGGTGGGAAACCCCTCCCCTACCTCAGAGGGATGTTAAAGCTTAATTTGTTTAATAATAGTAAAGGACTTTGAATTTCTATAATATTTTGTATCCAGAGGATAGCAAATATGATTGCTGATCTTGTTTAAACTGACATTCTGTGATCAAGCTGTTTTCTTATAGCATCAGGCTTTGTTTTATTTTTATGTCTAACTTTTAAGGGTCAGCCTTATGGGTAAAATACTTAGTTAATGCAGTAACCATATTAGCTATTGATTAAAGTGTTTTATCAGTGCATTAAATGGAAATGGAACACTGATTTTTAATAAAGTGTTATATTTAGCCTTCTGTGATTTTTCTCCATCATAAGTTTTTATTCGTCATGTTGGTCTCTGCACTTCTGTTGTGCATTGCAGTTGTGATCCTCACCAAGTATTTAGGATTCCTGAACCACAGAAATTCTGTATTGACAGGTAGCTTTGGTACCTGTGGAGCTGTGGCTGCCTTTCACCTATGCCCTGCAAGTGCAGGCTCTTTGTAGGAGGTATCGGTGTGCTTACAGGTGCTCTGCAGACAACTGGTTTTGATTTTTCTCTGGGCTCTTGCTGTAATTATAGAACAATTCATTGGCGGCAGTGTTTCTTCATATTCATGGAAATAACTTCATTTCCTAATAGAAAGGTTTTGATCTTTCATTAAGACTACACACAGTTTGTATTACCACAAAGATAACCTAGCTTGTGTTTTTAAAATCTTTCACCTTTCTTGGCTGACAGAGCACCCTAGCAGGGAACTAGATCCAGAAATTTAGTTTGTGTTCTGTAGTAGGTGTGCTTTTGAGGTAGCCAACACAATCTGTTCTGTTTAGCTGTTCTCCTGTTACCCTGCTTTCTGAGCTAAGCTGTAAGCTTTCTGTCTTGTGAGCAGCAACCACAGAAACTATTCCACCAAGCATCTGAGTGTCTTTGGAAGAATTTGGGTAATCTGTCTGTTCAGAAAGGTGAGCAGCCTCTCTGGGACTGTGGTTTCTAGCACATACTGCTATTCTTTCCCACAGTTGTTGTGGAGAATTGCTTCACCTGTAAGGTAGACGCTCCTACCACGACTTCTGGTTCTTGTGACCGGGTGAGGATTCAGTCTCCTCTATCTGCTGCCTCTTTCAAAAGTGGAACAACTCTTGTTTTGCCCTTTTCTGCCTGCATTAATGGAGGTCCGTCTCGTTCTCTGTGCGGTCCAGCTCCTGCCTGCCATCTCTTTCTGCACCGCTCCCGTGGGAGCTCTCCCTTTGCCCGCCTGTTCCGTGCCTTCTCTTGCAGCCACAGCTCATGCGGGATTTTCAGCAGTAGCTGGAGGGTTCAGTGAGCTGAACGCCTTTGCTGAAGGCATGATCTTGCCCCATCCTCGCTTGCTCTGGAAGGAAGAGCTTGAGCGCTTCCTGGGCACCCCTCGTGGCTTTGCACAGTGCTGTCCTTTTGCCTACATCAGAAAGGGAATCGAGCGTGCTGCGCTGTTCGCTCTTTTGGCGGAAAATACCGAAAGGGGCGGATTGAGCATGTCACTGACCCGATGCTTCGCCCCCCTTCCCTTTCGCTGTCCCTCGAGGCCGCCGCGCTCCCAGAGCTGAATGGCTGGGGCCGCTCCCGGGCCGCGGCTCCTGCGGGACCAGAGCCGGTGGGGTGGGAAACGGGGCCGGGGCCGCCTCAGGGCCGGGGCGTAAAGAACG